CACGCCCTTGTACCCGGTGCTGTTGCTGCTGGAGAGGTGCAAGCGCAGCCCCTCCGCCTCCGTCACGAGCGGCGCGGCGAGTGCAGCCTCCCTGTGCGTCGGAGGCGGCGGAGGAGGTGGCGAGGCGGTAGAGCATGCTGAGCCCGCCGCCGCCTCCTCCGCCGTCTCTCCCTTCTCCCCGCCTGCTGAGCCCTCCGCATCCGCTTCCTCCGCCTGCTCCACCTCCATCCCCTCCGCCTCCGCGCCCTCCGCCGCCCCTGCCTCCTCCGCGGCCCGCTCTGGCCCTCCCGCCTTGCCCGCCTTCGCCCGCGCGTACGCCACCGCCGCCTCCACCGCCGTGTCGAAGGTGCCGAGGAAGACATTCCTCCCACCCACGCTGTCTTGCGCCTGGTAGCGGCCAGAGTGCAGCTTGCCCACGTTCTTGTAGCCGGTGCTGCTGCTGCTCGAGAGGTGCAGCCGCAGCCCCTCCGCCTCTGTCGCCACCGTCGGAGGAGCTGGAGGCTGGTACTCGCCGGCCGCCCGCGCGTACGCCACCGCCGCCTCCACCGCCGTGTCGAAGTTGCCGAGGGAGACTAGCCTTCCACCCGCCCTGCGCTGCGCCTTGTAGCGGCCAGAGGGCAGCTTGCCCACGTTCTTGTAGCCGGTGCTGCTGCTGCTCGAGAGGTGCAGCTGCAGCCCCTCCGCCTCCGTCACGAGCGGCGCGGCGAGTGCAGCCTCCCTGTGCGTCGGAGGCGGCGGAGGAGGTGGCGAGGCGGTAGAGCATGCTGAGCCCACCGCCGCCTCCTCCGCCGTCTCTCCCTTCTCCCCGCCTGCTGAGCCCTCCACATCCGCTTCCTCCGCCTGCTCCACCTCCATCCCCTCCGCCTCCATCCCCTCCGCCTCCGCGCCCTCCGCCGCCCCTGCCTCCTCCGCGGCCCGCTCTGGCCCTCCCGCCTTGCCCGCCTTCGCCCGCGCGTACGCCGCCGCCGCCTCCACCGCCGTGTCGAAGGAGCCCAAGTAGACCTCCTTGCCGTCCACGCAGCGCTTCGCCTGGAAGCGGCCAGAGTGCAGCTTGCCCACGTTCTTGTAGCCGGTACTGCTGCTGCTCGAGAGGTGCAGCCGCAGCCCCTCCGCCTCTGTCGCCACCGTCGGAGGAGCTGGAGGCTGGTACTCGCCGGCCGCCCGCGCGTACGCCACCGCCGCCTCCACCGCCGTGTCGAAGGAGCCCAAGTAGACCAGCCTTCCGCCCACGCTGTGCTGCGCCTTATAGCGGCTCCTGTCCGCGCGCACGCCCTTGTACCCGGTACTGCTGCTGCTGGAGAGGTGCAAGCGCAGCCCCTCCGCCTCCGTCACGAGCGGCGCGGCGGGTGCAGCCTCCCTGTGCTGCGGAGGCCCTGCTGACCCCGCCGCCGCCTCCGCCTCCTCCACATGGATCCCCTCGCCGCTCGCTCGCTCCTGCTCCTC